AAAATATTACATAAATTGCAACATGTATTAGATGTCAAAATACCTACTCTGAATTATGAATTGAAATGACATTATTTAAAAAACATGTGAGAAAGGCATCTTCATAATTACATGTTATCAGCACAGAGACAGATTAGCTATTCTTTTAACATAATTAATTTTATGCACAATGCATTTGTTTGTGGTATTTGTCATTATCCATCAATATAATTATGAATTACTGAGAACTGTTTTCTAGAATCTTTTAAGTTATTTTAATTGCCTACTGATTTCTCCCTATTCCAATCCTTCACTTTTCTTCTCCAGCTGCTTATTGGGTATCATCCTGCTTCCACTCTAATTTACTTTTCCTTAATTTCTAATTTACATTTCCTTAATTTCAGTTCAGCAACCTTGCTTCCTCTTTCTTTTCTATTTTATGGATATAGCTTCATGCCGAATCCTGCTTGCACATGACACTCAAAGGAATAATGTTAAACCCCTTAAGGCCCCCCCCCCCTTATATGTGACTATAGGCCCGGATTGTCTGCTTTGAACTGGATTATATGGCAGTGTAGAGGGTTAAACTGCTAAGCTGCTGAACTTGCTGACCAAAAGGTCAGTGGTTCATATCCGGGGAGCACAGGAAGCTCCCGCTGTTAGCCCCAGCTTCTGCCAACTTAGTAGTTCGAAAACATGCAAATGTGAAGAGATCAATAGCTACTGCTTGTACAGAAAGGTAACAGCGCTCCATACAGTCATGCTGGTCACATGGCCTTGGAGGTGTGTATGGACAACACCAGCTCTTCAGAAATGGAGGTGAGCACCAGCACCCAGAGTCAGACACGAATAGACTTAATGTCAAGAAGAAACCTTTACCTTTACCTAAACTCATATAATCCAGTTCAGAGCAAATAATTTGGGATCAGATACTTGATTCTATAGCAGTGGACTCAACCCCAAAATGAATGCTTTTGTCATTATGTACCTTTAAGTTGTTGTTTTCCACTTATGGTGACTCTGGGGCTCAATGATATGGAATCATGGGATTTGTAGTTGTTCTTTGGCAGAGAGGGGTGCTAATACCTTATCAAACTAAAACTACCATGATTCCACGGCATTGAGTTACAGCAGGTAAGGTAGTGTCAAATTGCATTAATTCCACAGTGCAGATGCACCCTAAGGTAAACCTATCGTGGGGTTTTCTTAACATTTTTTTCCAGATGTTTCCCTTTTGCTCTGAGGCCGAAAGAGTGTAGTTTGCCCAAGATCATCCAATGGGTTTCCAATCTATTGGGAATTTACACCCTGGTTTCCAGAGTCATATTCCAATACGCAAACCACTACACCATGCTGGGTCTACATAATAAAGGCAATATATCTGACTTCTACATATGCGTCCTATTTATGAGAGTCTTTGTTTTCCAGCAAGGTTTGGGTCCAGATTACTTAAAGGATCACCTTCTCCCGTACAATCCACCCTACACACTTCAGTCTCCTGGGGCAGGAGGGGCATCTGTTTCAACCAGCCAGAACCCGACTGACAGTTGTCACCCAGAGAACCTTTTCATTGGCCACCCCAAGGTTATGGAATGACCTGCCAGTAAAGCTCCAACAGCTAAATCAGTGGTCAGAATTTAAGACACAAGGGAAGACAACCTGTCCCTTCTGGCAGGCCTACCTAGCAGTCTTTCAACATGAATTTTAATGCATGTCCTTTGTTTAATCTCCATTTTGTCTGTTTCAATATGTATTTCATAGACATATGTTTCGGTATGTATTGGCAGAGTGGGTTAAGAGTGGAACTTGCTTACTGAAAGGCCTCTTCTACACTGCCATATAATCCAATATCTGATCCCAGATTATCTGCTTTGAACTGGATTATATGGCAGTGTAGCAGGTTAAACTGCTGCGGTGCTGAACTTGCTGACCAAAAGGTCAGTGGTTCAAATCTGGGGAGTGGAGTGAGCTCCCACTGTTAGCCCTAGCTTCTTCCAACCTAGCAGTTCAAAAACATGCAAATGTGAGTAGATCAATAGGTAACGCTTCTCCAGGAAGGTTAACAGTGCTCCATACAGTCATGTCAATCACATGACCTTGGAGGTGTCTACAGACAATGCCAGCTCAGATCCTTGGGCTTAAAATGGAGATGAGCACCAATTCCCAGAGTCGGACACAACTAGACTTAATGTCAGGGGAAACCTTTACCTTTACCTTAACCCACCTTGAGCTATGAGGAGAGGCAGATAAGAAATACAATCATTATTATTATTTGATACAAAATAATATTAGTACACAGCAGACAAGATCACTATGCTGGCTTTTGTATTGGATCACATGTCGGACATTTCCCAAGCAGGTTGCTGTAAGTTTTTCGGGTTGTATGTTCCAGAAGCATTCTCTCCTGACGTTTCGCCTGCATCTATGGCAGGCATCCTCAGAGACTGTGATGCACTTTCCCCCCGCCCTCAATGAAGGTCTAACCCAACTGCCATTTGTTTCACTTGCAGAAGCCCTCTCTCTGCCTCCTGATATTCTGGGCAGGTAAAGCCTGTCGACATCACTACGCAGGTATAATGAGTAGTGGATTGTCATCAGTTAATTATTATTTTTATTATTGCTTTACTGACACAAAAACACAGTATGTCACAGCAAATAAGATATATATGCTGGACTTGGTATCACAAAATCAAAAGTCGAACACTTCCCAAGCGTCTAGGACTGTGTGATGTATTTTCGAATGATGTGTGCAGATCCAAGTAAGGTGGCTTTTTGCAGTTGACAGATTGTTATTTTTGTCAATGGTTATTGTTTCCAAATGCTGGCTAAGATCTTTTGGCATGGCACCCAGTGTGCCGATGACCACTGGGACCTCCTGTACTGGTTTATGCCAGAGCCTTTGCAGTTTTTTTTTTATTATTATTATTATTATTATTATTATTATTATTATTATTATTATTATTATTATGAGGTCTGACAATACACTTACCAAGTGTCTAGGACTAGGAGATGTATTGGTGAATAATGTGTGCAGATCCCAGTAGAGTTGCCTTTTTGCAGCAGACAGATGGTGATTTTGTCAGCACTGATTGTTTTTAAGTGCAGGCCAAGGTCTTCAGGTACTGCACCCAGTGTGCCAATCACAGGATATCCACCTATGACCACTGGGACCACCTGTACTGGTTTATGCCAGAGCCTTTGCAGTTTGATTATTATTATTATTATTATTATTATTATTATTATTATTATTGTGAGGTCTGACAATACTCTTCCCAAGTGTCTAGGACTATGAGATGTATTGGTGAATAATGTGTGCAGATCCCAGTAGAGTGGCCTTTTTTGCAGCTGACAGATGATGATTTCGTCAGCGTCGATTGTTTTTAAGTGCAGGCCAAGGTCTTTAGGTACTGCACCCAGTGTGCCAATCACAGAATATCATAGAAGCTGTAGTTTTACAAAGTCTTTAGCCTTCCCTGACAATGACTTCTGGGGCCTCACCAAACTACAACTCTCAGTATTCCATAGCATTGAGCCTGTAGCAGTTAAAGTGGTATCAAACTGCATTAATTCTACGCTGTTGATCAGTCATAGGCAAACTTCGACCCACCAGGTTTGTGTCCTATTTCTCTATCATGTTATTTAGTAACTGTTTATTTTATTTTGTTATTTCATGTATTTTATTTTGATGTTATTTTTGCTTCTTTGTGTTTTATTTTGCTGTATTGTAATTTTGGGCTTGGCCTCATGTTAGCCACCCCGAGTCCTTTTTGGGGAGATGGTGGTGGGGTACAAATAACGTTTATTATTATTATTATTATTATTATTATTATTATTATTATTATTATTGTGAGGTCTGACAATACACTTCCCAAGTATCTAGGACAGTGATGGGCAACCTTTTGAGCTTGGTGTGTCAAAATTTGCCAAAAACCTGGGTGGGGTGTCAACTTCAAGAAAAACAACAACATAATTTTGCAATATTTATAGTTCCAATAAGAAAAATGTCTATTCCATGCTGAGTTATGGAGCGAACATTGCTCAAACGTGCAGATGTTAAATTTGTAGAGCCTTTGACAAATTTAAGGATGGGATTAGATGGGCTCTTATAAGGTGTATTTCTCTGTATGCAGTCGCATGTGGCCACGTGTCATCAAAAATAGCCATGCGTGTCAGTGCTGACACGCGTGTCATAGGTTCACCATCATGGGTCTACGACTATGAGATGTATCAGTGAATAATGTGTACAGATCCTAGTAGGGTGGCCTTTTGCAGCTGACAGACGGTGATTTTGTCAGCACCGATTGTTTTTAAGTGCAGGCCAAGGTCTTTAGGTACTGCACCCAGTGTGCCGATCACAGGATATCCACCTATGACCACTGGGACCACCTGTACTGGTTTATGCCAGAGCCTTTGCAGTTTGATTATTATTATTATTATTATTATTGTGAGGTCTGACAATACACTTCCCAAGTGTCTAGGAATATGAGATGTATCGGTGAATAATGTGTGCAGATCCCAGTAGAGTGGCCTTTTTTGCAGCAGACAGATGATGATTTCGTCAGCACCGATTGTTTTTAAGTGCAGGCCAAGGTCTTTAGGTACTGCACCCAGTGTGCCGATCACGGGATATCATGGAAATTGTAGTTTTACAAGGTCTTTAGCCTTCCCGGCCAATGACTGCTGGGGCCTCACCAAACGACAACTCCCAGTATTCCATAGCATTGAGCCTTAATTCTGCATTAATTCTACACTGTAGATCAGTCATAGGCAAACTTGGACCCTCGCAGGTGTTTTGGACTTCAACTCCCACAATTCCTAACAGCCTACCGGCTGTTAGGAATTGTGGGAGTTGAAGTCCAAAACACCTGGAGGGTCCAAGTTTGCCCATGCCTGCTGTAGAGTGCTGCTCCCCTATTGAGGGCAGGAAGGCTTTGCTTTGGCTTCATCACCTACTAGGGCGCATGCGCGTTCACTCCTCCTCCGTCCCCGCCCTTTCAGCCTTAAAGGTGGGGGAGGGGGGCTTTCCAATGACCCAAGCTGCTCTTCCTTCTTTCCCTCGTTGGCTCAGTAGCGCAGTTCATTGCAAAGAGGAGAGAGAGAGAGCCGGCCTCGCCTTTTGCAAAACCGCGGAGCCCGCTCCTGCTATGAACCCAAGCAGCAGCGACGCCGCGCAGCCCTTCGCGGGCCCCGTGCAATGTAAGTGGCTGCCTGGGTCTTATCCGCGCTCCCGGGCCCTGGTTTTGCAGAAGCCGCGCGGCGCTTGGGTTGAACCGGGCCCCGAAACCTGAGTAGCGGCAGAAGCGCGCGTTCTGGGCCCAGCCCGGGAACCTGGCTGAAGAAAACGAGAGCAGGCCCGGGAACCTGGGTGGGTGGGTGAGAAGTGAGAATGATTGAGAACAGAGATGCTCAAAAGAGGCAGAATTGGGGAGAATGGGTGGGAAAGGGGCTGGGGGGGGGACCCCAGTTGATTTGGCAGCCTGCTTTTCAATCTTTCACTGCCATATAACTAGGGGTGCACCCACACTGTGGGATTAATGCAGTTTGACTCCACTTTCAGTGCTGGGAGTTTTAAGTTTTCAGGACTTTAGCCCTCTCTGCCAGGAAGTGCCAAACTACAACTCCCAAGATTCCATAGCACAGAGACATGGCAGTTGAAGTGGTATCAAACTGCATTAATTCTGCAGTGTAGATGCACCTTGAATAGACTTGCTTGCTTGCTGGTGCTGGCATTCAAAGGCATGCCTTATGCAGGATGAACCCATCATAGAATCAAAGAGTTGGAAGAGACCTCATGGGCCATCCAGTCCAACCCCATTCTGCCAAGAAGCAGGAATATTGCATTAATCACCCCTGACAGATGGCCATCCAGCCTCTGTTTAAAAGCTTCCAAAGAAGGAGCCTCCACCACACTCCGGGCAGAGAGTTCCACTGCTGAACGGCTCTCACAGTCAGGAAGTTCTTCCTAATGTTCAGATGGAATCTCCTCTCTTGTAGTTTGAAGCCATTGTTCCGTGTCCTAGTCTCCAGGGAAGCAGAAAACAAGCTTGCTCCCTCCTCCCTGTGGCTTCCTCTCACATATTTATACATGGCTATCATATCTCCTCTCAGCCTTCTCGTCTTCAGGCTAAACATGCCCAGCTCCTTAAGCCGCTCCTCATAGGGCTTGTTCTCCAGACCCTTGATCATTTTAGTCGCCCTCCTCTGGACACATTCCAGATTGTCAATATCTCTCTTGAATTGTGGTGCCCAGAACTGGACACAATATTCCAGATGTGGTCTAACCAAAACAGAATAGAGGGGTAGCATTACTTCCTTAGATCTAGACACTATGGTCCTGTTTTTTTTTTTGTTTTTTTTTTCACCATACATTTTTATTAGATTATTATAAACTACAACGAAAGAGGGAGAATAATATAAAGAAGATAGAAAAGTAGGAAAGAAAGTATTAGATAAGAATAACAACAACAATCTCGAGAGAAAATGAAGAAAAAAAATTTTTTTTTACCAAAAACTACGAAAAATCACACAATAAAAACTACGAAAAATCACACAATAAAAAAAATAAAAATAAAAAAAGGAAAGAAAAAAAATCACAAAAAATTGGACCTCCTTCCGGCTCTGCCCGTATATTGTCTTTTTGTCAATCTTTTTCGATATATTCTACCTTCTAAGGTTTTGTTACCTTTCCTTTTGATTACTTGTCCTTGGACCTATTTTCAATATAGTCTTCTATTATTGTCCAATCTGTTTGTTTTATTGGGTTGCCTGTATTCTTTTTTAATAAGAAAGTTAGCTTGTCCATGTCCTTAATTTCGTTTATTTTCTTTACCCACTTAAATTTTTCCGGTACTTCTATCTGTTTCCATAATTGCGCGAAGACAATTCTAGCAGCCGTCGTCAGGTAGAAGAATAAAATATCTTCGTTTGAGTCTAAACATATATCTCCATCCGTAATTCCCAACAGATAATATTCAGCTTTCCTAGGAAATTTTTTTTTAAATATTCTCTGCATTTCTTCGTGTATCCCTTTCCAGTACTTTTGAGATTTTTCACAACTCCGCCAAAGGTGGAAAAAACTTCCATCGTGTTCGTTACATTTCCAACAGATCTTTGATGCTTCTTTATACATCTTATTTAGTTTGATTGGTGTCATGTACCATCTATGGAACATTTTCATCCAATTCTCTTTTAAATCAGTGGCATAAGTGTACTTTAATTTTTTGTTCCATATTATTTCCCAGTCCGCCATTGCTATTGGTTTTTTAAAATTCTCCGCCCATTTTACCATGCAATTTTTTATCAGTTCTGTTTCAGTGGACCAATCTAACAGCTTATCATATAATTTTGTGATGCATTTTGTCTCAGTTTTTAAGATTTTATCCCAGAATTCTTCTTTAAGTTGAAAGCCTAGCCTTTTGTCTTGATTATACTGCTCTTTTATTTGTAAGTAGTTCAGCCACATAGTCCTTGGATAGTTTTGTTTTATTTCTTCATAGGTTTTTAACTCCGTTGAGCCTTGTCTTAAAAGTTCTTTATATGTGGGCCAGTTTGTCCAGCCCAACAGCCTTCTCTGTTTCGCTTCCACTGGAGAGGTCCAAAGAGGGGTTTTTGAGTAAAAATATTTTTTATATCTATCCCTGATTCTAAGCAATGAAGAGCGAATAAAATGGTTACCAAAATTTCTTTCATTTTTTTCTTTTCCATACCATACATAGGCATGCCAGCCCACCCGAAGGTCATGGCCTTCCAGTGTGAGAAGGTTTTCCCTCTTCAATTTTATCCACTCTTTGATCCAAGTCAAGGCGCATGCTTCGTGGTATAGCTTAAAGTTAGGTAACCCAAATCCTCCTCTATTCTTCTTATCTATCAGCACTTGGTATTTTATTCTTGCCTTTTTCCCTTTCCAAATGAATTTCGAAAGGTTCTTTGTCCATTCATTAAATTTCTTAACATTTCTGACAATTGGAATGTTTTGAAATAAATAAAGCAATTTTGGAAGGACTGACATCTTAATTAATGCAATTCTTCCTAACAGGGAAAGGTTTAAATGTTTCCACTTATCCAAATCCTTTCTAATTTCACCCCAAAGTTTTTCGTAATTATTAGAGAGGAGCTGAGCGTTTTTGGCTGTGAGCCAAATGCCTAAGTACTTGATCTTATTTACGATTTGGAGGCCTGAAATTCTCATTAGTTCTTCTTGTTTGTCCTTTGCCATGTTCTTCGTTAGAATAACGGTTTTATTTTTGTTTAATTTAAATCCGGCCAACTTTCCAAACTCTTCAATTGTTTCTAACCAGTTTTTGATATTCTCCCTTGGATTTTCTATTATACCAATTATGTCGTCTGCATAGGCTCTGGCCTTATATTCTTGTTTCCCGATTTTAACCCCCTTGATCTTTTCCTCTTCTTTTATCTTTTTCATCAAAATTTCTAGCGACATAATAAAGATCAAGGGAGATATAGGGCAACCTTGTCTTGAGCCTTTTTCTATTTTAAATTCATCGGATGTTAGTCCATTTACTTGGATTCTGGCCCTTGGGTTCTTATAGATTCCTTCTATAGCAGTTATGAATTGGAAAGCCAAATCCAGTTCTTTCATTAGGGTCTTAAAAAAATCCCAATTCAAATTGTCGAATGCCTTCTCCGCATCAACTGCGAGGAAGGCCACTTCCTTTTGTGGGTTGGCTTCGAAATATTCAATCATATCTACCACAATTCTCATATTATCCTTTATATTTCTTTTAGGTAAGAAGCCAGCCTGTTCTTCCCCTATCCAGTTACTCAAGAAGTTTTTTAATCTTTGGGCCAGAATATTTGTGAAGATTTTATAGTCCACATATAGGAGCGAAATTGGTCTATAATTCCGCACATCTGATTGGTCTGATTGTTCTTTATGGATAACTGTTATTTCAGCTAGATTCCATGTTTCTGGAATTCCCTGGTTCTGAAATACTCCATTCATTACCTTTTTTAACATTGGCATGAGTTATTTCTTGAATGTTTTGTAGTACCCAGCAGTAAAACCATCTGGGCCTGGCGCTTTATTCGCATCCATTTTCCTTATTGCGGCCTCAATCTCCTCCTCTGTAATTTCTTTATTCAATTCTTCTCTTTGTGTATCTGTGATTTTAGATATATTGAATTTACTTAAATATTCAACTATATTAGGGAGTGGAACACCATCATTCGCATAGAGCTTTTCATAGTATTCTTTAAATTCTTCCAATATCCCTTTGTCTGATGTGGCCTCCTCCTTTCCTTTCTTTATCTTTACTATTCGTTGTTCTTGTCTCTTTTTTCGGACTAATTTAGCTAACCATTTTCCAGATTTATTTGCGTTTTCAAAGTGATATTGTTTTAGGAATTTTAGCTGTTTAGCTTGGTCCTCTATTTCTATGTTGGATTTTTTCTGGTGTAATAGTTCGATTTCTTTAATTATGTCTGTATTTCCTGGCTTAGTCTTCAATTCGTTTTCTTTGACATTTATTTTGCTTATAATATCTTTTAAATCTTTTTGTCTGTTTCTGTTATTCCTGGCGCTGTGCTGAATAAAGTGACCTCTTAAGACAGCCTTGGAGGCATCCCATATCACATTTTGATGCATTCCTGGGGTATTATTTGTCTCTGCATATTTGTTAATCAGATTTCTATATCTAGTTATGTCCTCTTCCCTTTTTATTAGATTCTCGTTTAATCTCCATCTTCCTTTTAATTTTTTTTGATTAAGAATAATTTCTATGGGTGCATGGTCTGAGAGATCTCTTGTCAGTATATTTATATCCCAAATTTTTGTAATAATATTATTTGATGCCCAGCACATGTCAATTCTCGACCACGTTTGGTGTCTGTGGGAATAGAATGTGTAATCTTTTTTTTGTAGGGTTTTTATATCTCCAGACATCTTTCAGGTCCTGTTCCTCTTTAAAATCCAAAAATATTTTGGGTAAAGTGGCTGTTGATCTCTTCGGGCCTTTTTTCCGTATTTTTGTTTTGTCCATTTGACTGTCTAATACCCCATTGAAGTCTCCCAGAATTATTAAATCATCAAATTCTGTTTCATCCAAATTCCCTTTTAAATTTTCCACAAATTTAGTTTTTGGGCCGTTTGGGGTATATATATTGCAGATTAATATACTTTGATTTCCAGAGATGATTTTAACTGCTATAAATCTACCCTCCTGATCTTTAAATGCTAA